GAATGAAGCTGTCATGTGTGTCTGTGGTTGGCTAGCAGGCTGTCCGGCTGCAAGCTGTGCCTTCCTTTGTTGTTTAGGCCTCATTGAGCTGAGGGAAGAGGCTCATTTCAGGGTGATTTACCACCACCCAAACACCAGCTGTCTGTTGTACTGCCGCTTGCCTCCACCTTGGATTCAGTTCTTGTTTCCCTTCGTTTCCCCCCTTCTCCTCTACCACTCTACCACTGTAGGCACTTGGGAACTTGTTCTTCAAGATGTGTGGATCGCCCTGACAGAACAGTGTAAAAAACATAAACATCAAATATGTTGTTCTTCCCAGCATCCCTTATGCACTTATGGGAATCTTCTTTTTAGGGTTCACTGTTGCAGTGCTATACACGTTTTCTTCTTGGCGAAGGACAGAACTATGGCCCTAGGGAGAAAAAAAATAAACCCACTGTGTTCCTCTTGGCTTGTTACTAAGTAGCTCATAGTGGAAACCAGTAATGATTTTATTGAAAAATGACTATTAAGCTCAGTGGCAGGATGGCAGACTGAATTGCATAGCCTGTGTGGTGTAGGATGTCAGGGGAGGTGGCTGCAAATGTGCTCTCCGGTCCTGAAGATGTTGGGATATTTGGGTGGATGGAAAAGGAGTCAGAGAAGGACAGTACTGCCTCCCTGCATGCTTGTCATTCCTGAGCAGGCGTGATCACTGTGTTTATGTGGATATCATGCTGGAGAGCTATTTTTGGTGGCATAAGACAGGAGAGGAAGAAAAGGGAAGAGGCTGCAAAGCGCTGCTCAGCTCAGCTTCATAAATCTCTTTCAACAAAGTATTTCTCCCTGAAAAGCCAGGCTGCTTCAGCAGCTGAAATGCTGATAAAAGTCTTGGAAAGACCATGCTGGATGCTGTGCTCTTCCCCAAGTTGCCATGGGCCAAGGCTCAGTTATCCTTCCGCACCTCACATTTTCATCTGTTGTTGGAGGACATTTTGAGGGTATGGCAAGGTAGGAGAGATGGAGAGAGCATGAACAGCTGAAAGCCAGGGCCAGGTTTGGCCAGTGAGACCTTCTAGGGGCCAAGTGGAGATGGGTTGCACCAGTTCCTTGGGGGTGAGGCTACTGCCAGTATTTTTGAGGGCTGTTACTCAAAACTGAGGAAGTCTGATGGGAACTGAGGAGGTCAGAGCCCAGCTACCCCTGCCAGTGGCTGCAAGGTACCTGGCACGGTGCTGCTAAGCCAAGCCCACCCCTCAAGCTGTTCTTTCCAGCTGCTGAGTTGTGAGAGCGGGAGGAAGACAGGATCCTCCGGTTAATCCCAGCCAGCTCCTCCGGAGCACAGAGCTTGGCAGCTCCACGGAGGCCCACCGGTGCCATGTGCGTCGTGTCCAACTCCTTTAAACGGGGCTGGCAGCTCCCCATGGAACCGCTCTGGGCAACGTGGTGGCACCAGGCCTCACCAGGGCCTCTGGGGCTGCCCTGGCGGTGGCAATTTGTGTGTGTGTGTGCCCCCGCGCTTCCCCCCAGAGCCGATGGCATGAAGTGAGTTGTGACCGGCCCTTGTTTGACTTCTGGGTGACATAGTTTGGTGTTTCTCGACCACAGGCTGTTAAAACTGGCAACTGATCAGCTCCTGTCACTCGTGCAGCTGAGATAATTAAGCTTGTTACTGTTACTATGATTATTTTTCTGCTTTTTCTGCAAACTTTGGCCAACTGCTGGAGTCTGTGGTGCAAGGAGGAGGATGAGGCCAGCGAGACTCCCTATAAGAGGTGGGATAATGGGACATAAGTGCTTTGCTTTTCAGTGCTGGCCAAAGAGCCTTCTTGCTCTTTGCCTTGGGAAGGGGGATGTCTGATGATGGGTGGGAGCCAGCAGAAGGCAAAGCGAGCTCCTCCATTGGGAATCCTTGTACCGACCTGCTTCTGAACCAAAGCATCGTGTCGAAAGCAGGCTGCAGAGGATCAGTTAGGAGCAATACGTCTATGAACTTTCAAGATCACTGTGCTGTTCTCCAATCCTGTTAATAAAAGGCCATGAAACATGGAAATGATGCTTCATAAAATAATGTCAAATGTCTATAATACCAGGTGAAATGAGGCTCCTTCTTTGCAGGGTTCTCCTTTCTCTCTCCTGTAAACATCAGGTGTTACTGGACAAAGGAGGGAGGGATATATTAGGAAGCAACAACCACAGCAGGATAGCCCCAGTGAGGTGTTTTAATTTCTTAACAAACTCCTTGGGCACTAAAAACTGTAAAATAACATACAGATAAACAAACAAAAACTCACTGACCCTTAGCACCCTGGAGCGCTCTGTTTCAGATCACTGAATAAAAGCTGAAGTTGCATGTGCATGTTTAATGTAACACAAGGCGTGTGCTGCGGAAAAGCGTGCTTTCTTCTAATCTGGTTCCAGACAGAAGCATCCAAACAGAAGCCCCTTTCCCTATTTTTTTTTGAACTGCTTGGTGTATGCAAGGAAACCCCTGAATGACAAGGCCTCCATCTGCTCTTGAACGGAGTTGCGACTGGCTGCAAATGTTGTCCATATGCTTTTTTTTTTTTTTTTGCCTTTCAACTTAGCTGCCTAATGTTAGACACCTATCCCCAAATTAAGCATCTGCTCATAATAAGCTTTCCTAAAAAAAGGTGGAGGTAGTAGCTAATTTGGGCGATGCACATTAGGAGAGGCGCATCTGCAGTTCGAAAAGGAGATGGGATCATTCATTCAGTGTATTGCTTTTGTTTACTTTTTTGGGGGAATGGGAGAGGTCTTACATTCTTGTACTGTCAGGGAAAAAGAAAAAACTATCAAGTTTTGGGTTCATATTCCCCCTCTGCACTTGTTTCTCCCAGTGATTATGGGCAACATCGTGCAATTTCTCTCTGTTAAATAAAGCTGGTGATAATTCCAGCCGAACAGGATAACATGGCCATGGTTTGCCATGAGCTCGGGTTGCATGACATTATATCCTAGAAGCCAGAGAAGTATCTAAAAATTGGAATTTTTCTTTGGTTTGTGGTATAGAAAGGTCTTTTTCAACATAATGACTTTGTGGTGGATATTGGGACAAGTTGACTGTCAGCAAGTCATGTATGGATCCAGCTTCCTAAACGGAGGTCTATGTTGCTGCTATAAACACCCTAAAGTATCCTGACTGTCCATCAGTTGCCTGTTGGGAAATGTGTGAGTCTCCCGTAGGTCCTTTTGTATCTCTAACTTGTCTCATACACTGTAGAGTGCCTAGAAAGTCTCCTTTGGTTAGACAGACAAGTCTCTCCCTGTGCCTCGGTTTCCTATCTCTAACATAATAACTTAATACAAATACTTTACATTTTAGTTTAATCACTTCTTTCTGGGGAATGATTTTCAAATTTAAGAGATTATGGACTGATTGTTGAAGGACTGTAATAATGGGGCAAGAGCAAAATAGCTTTGATAGGTGGAGTCACAGGCAGAGGATGCCAGTTGGAAGTAGGAAAACCTCGAAGTTTTGACAGGTTGCAATCAGCAGTGCCAACATTGAGAGTTTTGGTTAGGTATCAGGTGTAGGTACAGCCTTTTCAGTGTCTTTTTTTTCCAGCATCTCTTTTGGAAAAAGGAGAAAAGATAATTTTTTGCACATTATCTGACCTTGCTGGGACTTGTGAGATGCTAGGGTTACCAAGTAAGAGATCTCACCACACCTGGTAGGTTGCAGGCTCTCCTGGGGTGACCAGAAGTTTATCTGCCTTTTTGTAATTCCTGCCACCAAGGGTCATCTCTCTGCTGTGCCCTGACGTTGAGCAATGGCTGCAATTCCTTTTAATCGTGCCCTTTCCCTTCCTCATCATTTAGGGAAGAGTGCTTCCACTTGGCTAAACTCATTAACTGCTTTAATGTCGAGGTCTCTTTTTCCATATAAATTCATCCAACTGAAATCTTGTGCCTCTCCATGGCTGCATGCGAGCAGATTCTCCCTCTGTTGCCCAGCAGATGCTAAGAGTGTTTATTTTTCAGCTGTGGACAGCAAAAGTCTGAAAAAAGGCAATGTCTTTGTGTGTTTGTCTATGAGAAAGTAAGTAATTGCGATGGGTTTGTGGGGACTCAATTGACTGTGTTACTGTTTGAGCTCAAGGAGCATATTGACCAAACCTGGAACGCCAGCCCCTTTCTGCCATGGTGATTTATCAAGACATCCAGGTCCGATAAACTCCAAAAACGCTTTGGTGAAGAATCAAAGTGACTCAGATAATCCCCAGAAGAGAACCATGTTAATGTGAGGGACCTTGCTGCTCAGATCATGCTCAGTCAGTCTGATGACTTGTCAATGAAAATAAGGTGTATGAGCTCAGCTTGTTTCCGAAAGTGTTGGTTCTAGGCAAAAGGACGGTGAGGGGGACCCTGTTTCTTTGTAAATCTACGTTGGCCTCTGCACGTTTTCAACGTTGCAGGATCTGTACTGCAGTGTTGGGTGAGGTTGGGCTGTTGAATTCCTGACAAGGACTTGACAGTGATTATATGGACCCATTGTCCTAATGAGGGCAAGTCACACCCGTAGACTTTATTTCACTGAATCTAGCTAGACTAGAAGCAAGTAAGCACTAAATTGATAATGGTGAACAGAAATGCTGGTGTATGAACTTTACTTTAAGTTACTCCAGTTTGGTAATTGTACCCTCTGAGCATAATAGACTTGTTCCTGTTCATGTATGTGCATGAAAACATTGGGTTAAAATAACCTGTTCTTTTTCAGCTTGGGTGACCCGTATTCCCACTGTGTTTTTCTGTACACCTTGCTTTCCTTCTGCCCCTGTCTATGTGACATCCCTGATGCCCTGGTATTGGCCCTTGGGGAAGTCTCTTTGGCAGCTTGGGAGCCACCCCTCTGTGGAAGGGTATCTCCCAGCAATGCAGGATGAGTCCACAGGCTTCCCTAATACCCTTTCTTCCTCTGCTTCTGACCATAAATACAAGCCCCTTGCTCTTCAGTGGTTCAGATTGTGCTGATGTTTTTCTTGCCTTATCTCTTATAGGGAAAAGTCATTGGAGATGCAAAACTGCTTATGAGTTGTGGTTGCAGAAAAGGGAAAAATGCTCAAGTGAAAGACTCAGATCAGGTCAGTCAATATGTACTTTAACTGGCAGAAATAAAAGAATGTGTTAACTGCTGGTTGATTTGAACTGTGCTGTTGCATATCAGGGTTCCTGGACACAAACGGAGTCCTTGGCATGGCTGGCAATGATACAACATTAATGTTTTTGTGTTTGTTATTTGTTGAAAAACCCTCGAGCAAGATCAAGGATTCATTGCACTAGGAGCTGTTAATGCCCTAGTCTGACTTATTCCCATCTGGTTTATTTATTAATGAATTCTGTTTCTTTATAAAAATCCACTCCAGGCAATGCCTTTCTTGAAGAATATTATACTACTTTGCTGGCTAAATGCATGCAACCTTTGGTCTCACATTGTAGGTGCCTGGATGGGTGATGGTTACAGAGAAATGTGCTATTTGTTGCATGTTCTTGTTCTGAAATGCCACCATCACAAGAACATTCTTTATTGAGGTTCCTCATGATAGACACGTAAAAACTTGTTCACAAACTGATGGCCAGGTTTTAGTATTCATTACTTGGAATGAATAGCCTCTTATTTTAAAACTGGTCACATTGACGTCGGTGGGACCACTTGTAGGGTTCAGTAATTGCAAGTGAGGTGGACTGCACTCTGAATGACAGCCAGCTGGTGGTCTCTTCTGACCTCCTACCATTTTGCACTTACTCAGGCCAGCCAAGTTTGTCCTTGTCAAAATTTTCAGTTATTATGGCCTTCCAACTTTGTCGCTAAAGAGAAGTTTGAATCCAGAGATCATTCTTTCTAAAGATGAAACATAATTTGATTTGAGCAAAAATGCTTTATAACTATTGGGTCATCCAGTATTAAATGTGGTAGAGTGAGGCAGTTGACCTCAAATAGCAAATAACTTTGCTGTCTAATGTATCTTGTGAACAACCTGTGACCAGGTATAGACCTGAAGCAGATTCAAACAGTATCCATAAAACTTCAGGAGCTTCTGATAATTTTTACTGATTGGAAAAGAGATGAATTCTCAGAAGGAAAAAAGTTTTTGATTTTCAACATGCATGTTCATCAACCCTAATTAATAACAGTATCTCTGAACCTTGTTTTGTTAATGTCTGAGAAGATCTGAGAACAGATCTGTCTATCCTGCAGTGGACTCTGTTTTGAGGAACGTTGGTCACACTTATAAACGCTTTGTAGGATTGAGTTTTTCATTGAGTTTGGTTTATTTTTTTTCTTTAATTAGTATTTTCAAAATAACAAATTCATTGTCATGAGCTATACTATCAGTTCATCGTTGAGACAAGGATTCATACTACTTTTGTTTAAAGAATAGCTTCCCATTCTCTCCAATAGAAGCTTAATTTTCTCATGTTGAGGTTCTAACACATCAGGACAAAATTAATTTAAAAATTAAACCCTTTTACCAATTTTAGTCTTTTGTATTTTGATGTACTCTGGTTGAATCGCTCTTTATTTACAACAGGACTAGAGCAGTGTCAAACCTCTTGTGGTAGAGATTAAAAATGAAATGGGAATGTCTTGATTGTAGAGAGGTTTTACAAAACACTATCTCTAACAAACCATGAGTGTTGGACCTAAAACTCATTGACGGCAATATAATTATAGAGTAGGCCATATTTTTTGGAGGGAAAAAAAAAACCCCTTTCTCTTTTTTGTTTTCTAGGACAGTGATAAATTATTCTTGGTGTTTGGTTACTTTCTGAAATCTAATTTTTGGTGTCTAGTGATGTATTGATCATCTCAGGAACTCTTTTTTGCTGTATCAGCATAAACTGTTGGGCAAGCGCTTGCTCCAGATGCTGTAAAGCTCATTCATCGTGGCCCTGGCAGGGTCCTGTGTGTATTTCAGGGGACAGGAGGTAGATGAGGAGGAAACTAGTACAGGAGGGTGGGTGACAGTGTGGAACATTTGTCCGTGAATGCAGGACCTCAGCTCGGCTTATAAATTATGCCCTGGGCCTTGTAGATAAACACAGACTTCTATAGTGACATCGGCTGGGAAAGGCAAACACTTGCCAACAATTGTAGGCTAATCCTTCAGGACCCTAATTGCCAGAAAACCAAGGAAGCATTATTTTAGGAACAGCTTGTTTCATTTTGTGAAGGGGAAAAACACTGCACTGGATTTAGTTTTGTTTGCAGAGCTTTACCCCTCCTCCCGCACCCTGTCTCAGATTTTAAATATTTACCTTCATTATTGTTGTTGGGGGCTTTTTCTTTCTTTTTTTTTTTTTCTGTCTTACTTTGTGCTTTCCTGTGATGCCTCTGTAAAGTTGTGCAAAAACACAACTTAGTTTTCACTTTCTTGAATGTACGCATAAATAGGTATCTGGTTTTTGTACCATTAACTATTTAAAGATTTGGGACTAACCAACTACTTTTCGACTGAATTTTTGTGAAAGGCAATGCTTTGTAAAGATTTAATTTTTTTCCATTTTTTCAAGTCAATTTGGAAACTTGCAAAAAGTCCTAAACACACTGCCCCACCAGTGAAAATCCCCAGCTCAACCAAGTCATGGTCCCATTGCTGAGGATTTAATTTACTGACATTTCTCCAGTACAGCACTAGAAGAGAAGGCACCTTAATCTCCGTGACCTGAGATCTGCTTCCTTGAGTCTGGCATCCAAAGGCACCCATCTGCATGGTATTTTCCATGGTGCAAGTCACCAGTGTGTAAATCCTGGCCGCATCACTGTCAAGGGCAGAAGTCCAAACAAGCTCACATGGGGCTGAGGTTTCATAACATTCACAAGGAACCCAGCATTCATGGTGGATTTGCACCAGAGCAGGAGAAGGACTGGTGGTCTATGGTGTGTGGCCTCCCAGTTCAAATCAAACCCTACAAGATGAGGTGGAAGGCTAAGCAGTGCAATACAAATCCCACAAAAGCTTTGAAAACCTTGAAGGGAATACAGCTGAGTGCACTGAAGAACTAGACTCCTGTCTTCCATGGATGGTCTTGATGAAGCTTTGGGTCAGTGAAGCAGGATGACTGAGAGGAGTCCCAAAATAAGGCCACCTCTTGGCAGCAGAACGCCTGTGTCCTTGGCTACCATTGACACCATTGCCAGTTGTTTGTGTGCTTTGTGGGAGTGAAATTCATCAGTGCTCCAAGGCCCAGAACCAAGTCTCTGCACCACAAACATCCTACTGTAATTGTAAGATTCATATATGCTCTTCAGAGTGGTTATTAGTTTCCCAGTAATTTATGCCTTCCCATAAATTATTATACTGTTGCTTATTATTTGAGGTGTGTTGTTGCATAAGAATGGCAATCCTGGACTAAGATTTCCTTGTGCTAAGTAGTATATTAACATAAAGCAGGAAAGATGGTTCCTGGGGAGTGATTTAATTTGTGTACTTTCTGAGGAAAGAAAAATGTCATTTAAAAACAGGGGAAAAATGTGTGGGTGGACAAATAATGCGCATATTAGAGGTATACATAAGGTTGAGAACCAGAAGTAGCAAAGTGCTCCATATTCTCAGCATATGCAGCTTTGCCTTCTCAAGATTTAGTTTTGTTTGTTTGCCATTGCTTCTCCCAAAAGATAGACAGCTCATCAATGTTTAACTGCTCTTACCCATTGATTTTTTTTCTTTTTTCTCTTTGCTTAACTTTTCTGGTGGCTGCTGTGAGCTCAAGTGTTACTGAGAAGTCAGATCCTCCTGTCCTTCCATGTGTTTGTTTTTGGTTTTCGTATGACAAATGTATGCCTCCTCTAGAAACGGTATCCATGCTGCAGAGTAATTATTTAGTGAATGGTGGATCCAGTTCATGTTGGCAAGGATCAGATTAATCATTATTAATCATGACCCCTCTGACAGTAACCTCATCCCTTGTTTAAGTGCTGCTCTTTATTAAGAAGTAATAGCTATTAGGGGATGGTTGGGCTACTGCTCTCATTGCACCGGCACAGGGCTCAGGACTCCTGGCAGGACGCAGAGGAGCTCAGTTCAAAATTAAAAATAGACGCACATGGTCTACGTTCCAGAAATAAAATAGGCAGCTTCCCCTGTGGGCTTCTTCAGCCTCATCTGAGTGTCCTCCTTTCCCCTGAAGCCTCCCGAGAGTTTGCCTCTTTCCAAAGGTTGACTTCAATGTTGGGGATGAAATAATCTCTCTGGTGCTTTTTTATTTGTCCGCTTGATTTTCTTTTCAAAATGTAGGTACTTCCCAGTATAATCGAATGAACATGCAGTCCTTACAAGGATAAGATTTTTAAGGTCTATTCTAGTGGTTGTGGCAGGTTTTCACAGCTGACAAGACTGCAGATGAGCTTAGCTCTCTGGGACTCCGGTTGTACGAAGTACACCACAAACCAACTACCTTTTTTGAGGATTTCTGCATTCCCTGAAGAAACACTACACTATTGAGGTGAGGCGTGCAGCACTGTTCACCTCGTGCACAGAGTTGTGAGGAGTGCAGCATTTCATTTATAATTATTCTGGTTTCCGTAGCAGTACAGGTTCTTTTTAAGAAGGTGAGGCAGTGCTATCAATGGATGTCATCATTATTTCAGCAAAAGCACAATGACTTAAGTACTGGATTGAAACCAATCTCCCCAGTCCCCCAGCCACTCAAATCCACCTCAATTACTTTTTAAAATGTTTTCATTGACTGTTTGGAAATCCAGGACAAAACCCTTTAGAAGAGAGCAAAGGAAAGAAAAACGTCTTTTGTTTCCATCTAGCTCTTCGATACCTGGAGAGTAGCAGTAGAAACTTGGAGCAAACCTGCCACACTCGTTTGATCTCTGCCAAAGTTGTTGTGGAAGTAACATTGTTTAACGGTTGAAGGAATTTATTGAAGAAGAAAAGTACCAGCAAAGACAAAGGGACCAATACAAATTATATGGTAAACTGCTGTCAAATTTTACGTGCTCAGGGCTACCGGTAATTTCCCGTCTTAAAAAACTGGAGAGGCAGTTTGGAGGGGAGGGAAGAAGGGTAGAAAGTATATAAATAAACCCGCCTCTTTAAATAGCTAACTATCCTGGCCTGAACTGTCAGAG